TCTCTCTCTCTCTCTCTCTCTCTCTCTCTCTCTCTCTCTCTCTCTCTCTCTCTCTCTCTCTCTCTCACACACACACACACACACAAATCTGGACAAGCAGGGAGGTAATAACCTGGACTAGACAGGAACCAAGACTAGAACAGAGTGAAGGGGAGTCGGATCTATCCCACCTTATTACTGTTTCCTCTTCTGTTGGGATGAATCTTGCTTAAACTAACACGCAGGCAGGGTTAGGATGAAGGGTGCAGGAAGGGGTTGGTAAACCAGAACAGTCTCACCTGATTATCAGTATCCTGAAGTAAATGCAGAAGAGACTCCAAAATACGGACCTTCTGGGCACCAATCTTCAGTTACCCACCCTCCTGGAAAATATAGACCATGGCAATTCTACAAGCTCCAGAAACAAAACTCCTCTCAGAAGCACCCTAGTGTAAATCCCCTGAAATTGTATTCAACATGGTGAAAGCATGTGCATTTTTCTGAGAAATGAATGTCCATAGCTTTCAACAGATCTTCAAAGGCTTACTTGACCCATGAGGTTAAGAACATAGAAGAAGGAACCTAAAAAGAAAATCCAAGTCATAAACTTTAGACTGCTTATCTTACCTGCAGAGGAGGGGGAAGAAATTTCTTGTGCATGTTTTGTTTATGTATACCAGCCATTCCTTACTAAGGGCTGTTTTGTCCACCCCCAGCCCTAACCCACCCCGGCAATGTCTGAAGACTTTTTTGATTGTTACACCCAGGGGAATGCTACTGGAATCCAGTGGATAGAGGCCAGGGATGCTGCTAAACATTCTACAATGGAGTTTGACATTTCCTTTAAGGTTTTGTATGTGATTCAAAACGTACATTTTTAAATAACTGTTGCATGCACTAAACATATGCATCTCTCTCCATATATATGTATATACATATGAGCGTACTTCAAAAATTCATGCAAAGTTCAAAAATTCATGCAAAGATTTGTATTCTTTTTGTTTAAACTTTATGTTATCTTCTTTGTTTTTTATTTTGTTTTTTGCAGCTGGCCATAAGGGGATCCGAACCCGTGACCTTGGTGTTAAAAGGCTGTGCCCCAACCAATTGAAGTAACTGGCCAGCCCTTTTATCTTTTTTTTTTTTTTCTTTTTTGTCTTTTTTACTGACCGGTAACGGGATCGCAACCCTCGGTGTTGCGCCTGCACCACGCTCAGCCAGTGAGCGGGAACCGGACTCCACATGGGATCCGAACCCTCAGCGGGAGCGCTGCCGCGCTACCAAGCGGTGCACTCTCCAGTGCACCACCGGGCCGGCCCAGCCCTTTTATCTTTTTCTTTTTTTTCTTTTTTACTGACCGGGAACGGGATCGCAACCCTCGGTGTTGCGCCTGCACCACGCTCAGCCAGTGAGCGGGAACCGGACTCCACATGGGATCCGAACCCTCAGCGGGAGCGCCGCCGCGCTCCCAAGCGGTGCACTCTCCAGTGCACCACCGGGCCGGCCCAGCCCTTTTATCTTTTAATTCTATTTTTCCAAAACTTTTGAAGCACGCGCGCATTTCTTATTGCACATTATTGTTAGATATATAATTCATCTCCACTGAAATAGAGGAAACTACTTGTTTTTAAAGTAGATTCTGAATGTACCCACTCTATACACCTTTACACATACTTTCCAGCTCTAGTTAAGACACCATCTCTTCCATGAACATTCCTTGATGCTCTCAGTCAGAATTAATCCAGTGCCATTTTTGGATTCTCTTGGCACCTTATCTGACTCTCTCGAGATACCTCTCATTACCTACCTTAGAATCATCATTTTCTTTACAAACAAGTCTTATCTCCCCAACTTCAAAAACTTCTTAAGGGCAAGCCTATGTCTCCTTACAACCATCATAAACTTCTATTATGTTTTCTAAACAGACTTGTCTATAGCCCAAACATACTTTTTTAAAACTAAACATTACATTTCATATCGGTCTACACCTTTTTTTTCAGTTAAGACTGTTATGGTTATTTTTGCAGGTGAGTACATGTGGATTTTTCTTAACCTTGTCATTGTCAGTGGTGTCTAGGATTCCAAAATATCCACTCATATATGTAGCTCCATGGTAACTGACCTGTAGATAACTCAACTTTTTATTGAATTAACTTACAGACATTCTGTGCAAATAAAAACATATCCCACTCTGACAGAGATTTCTCCTCCTTGTTACTTACTACTTTGAGCACTTTTAGTCTGGTCCAGTCAGCCCTGCGAACCACTTTGCATCACAACTTGGTGATGGTTTGGTGGTGGTGGCAGTAATTCAGAGGATTCAGGAGTGGGTAGAGGTGGCAGAAGGACATAAGAGAAAACAGACCATTGAATAACTACAGGAGTCAAAGGTATAACTTTCCTTGGAGAATAGACAGAATTCCTGGGAACTCATCTCTGTATATTAGAACTAGGTTCAATAATCACACTATTAGAAGTCTTGCATGGGGGGCTGGTGGGTTACTCAGTTGGTTAAAATGTGGTATTACAGTACCAAAGTCATGGGATAGGATCCTGTACCTGCCAGTAGCCAAAAAAAGAAGGAAAAAAAAAAAAAGGAAGGAGAAGAAGTTTAAGTCCTGCATGTATCTGGAGGAAGATCCTGCTTTTTTCTGTTAAATGCCTTTTCCGTAGCAGAAATGGTGCAAGAACAGAATGGCATCTCCACTACAGGACTGTATGCGTGGAGAAGTGCTTTCCTCACAGGTAAAACACAGAGTGTCTGAAATCTGTCTGTCTTTTAAAAACAAGGAGTAGGAGGTGATAACAGCTTGTTCTCCCCACCCAATTCACTTGTTACATTAAACGCCTCAGATTACTCACTTAGGCTTGAGAAGTCAAGCTTCACCTGCTTCACATAGAAGTGGGTGGTTCTTATTTATCAGAATTTAATCATACCCAGGACTTCTTTCCAAAAAGATAGATGTGTCACTTCAAAACAAATGTCAGACAATATTATTGTTACTTTACAGTACTTATTTAGTTAATGATGATTTAAAATGCATATTCTTATTTATCATTTAGTCATTTGGAGTGTAAGACAAACTCCCCTGTTAAATCGGTGTGCTTATTCATTCATTCATTTATTCAAGGATTTATTAAGAATTTACTTGTGCTGCCCATGGATACAATGATGAACTAAAGCATGGACCTTGGCCTCTTACCTTGGGTGCAGCAGACATTCATCAAATGGTCACAAAATGTATATCCTATTTCACTGATTCTAAAATGCACGTTTTTCACATTTTATCAGGATTCATCTTACAATTGATGTAGTTCAATTGGCAGCATCTTTTCTTTGTTAGGGATTCATAAAATAATTGTGAGTTTTACATCAATGGGAATTATTAAATGAGAATTAATAAAATATGGATATTTATATAAATTTATAAGTATATTTATGCTTTTGAGTGACTGCATGCTACAAAAATTTGATTTTTTTTTCTTTTTCTTTTTTCTTAATTGACCCATGATGCTTGTGTGTATTTATGAAGTACAGTATGACATTTGGGCACATTCACACTGTATGCAATGATCACAGCAGGGCACTCAGCACATCCATCACCTCAAACCTTTGTCACCTCTTTGTGTTGGGACAAAAATGATTTAATTGAGTCCTTTGTTAATTTAACTTGAGAGCAGTCAATCTTACTACATTTTTCTTGCCTAAGGAGCAAATATTGTGGTGTTATTCTTTTCTTTCTTCCGTCTTCTTTTCTTTCTTTCTTTCTTTTTTTTTTTTTTTTTTGTTTCACAATGTTAAAATTCTCTAATCAGAAGAATTGCAAAAGAATGGAAAGAGGCAAATGATGTCCAAAAATTCTGTTTTCAAAGCATCCTAGATTCTGATTCTTATCACTTTCTTCATTTGATTGTAACTTTTGTGGCTTATTTATTATTCTTTATGTAGAATTGAATTGAATCACTTCTGTTAGGAGGCAGTGTTTGGAACCCACTGCTATCCACGTTTAAAACAGAAACGTGGGCTGGCTGGTTAGCTCAATTGGTAGAGCGGTAGAGTGTGGTGCTGATAACACCAAGGTCAAGGATTTGGATTCCTGAAATGGCCAGCCACCCCAAAAATAATTATAATAAAAGTGAAACACTGTTTACATTTCAGATTGGTGTTGGTAATCAATAGAAATGCCAAGAAAAAAAAAAAAAAAGGCCAGGGAAAGAAGTCGTTTTCCCCAGGGAAATTTAACTCTAATCCCAGCTTTTATTTTCATTATGCTTGTTAATTTTCTTAAGACAATAGATGCTAAATTTCTGGCATATTTACACAAAAACAGAAGTTAAACTTTCAACTATTTTTTTTTTTTTTTTTTTTTTTTTTTTTTTTTTTTTTTTTCCGTGTCCGGCAACGGATCGCAACCCTCAGTGTTGCCCCCGCACCGGACCGGGGACCGGCAACGGGATTGCAACCCTCGGCGTTGCTCCTGCGCCTCGCTCAGCCAGTGAGCGGGAACCGGTCTGTATGTGGGATCCGAACCCTCAGGCGGGAGCGCCGCCGCACTTCCCAAGCGGCGCACTCATCCAGTGCGCCACCGGGCCGGCCCAAACTTTCAACTTTTTTGATCTCTTCCCTACACAACCTATTGGGCTTATTTTCAGTTTTGCACTTAATTGTTTTCTATTTGTTTCCTGTATGTTACTTTTTTCCCTTTCCAGTTATAACATGTAAAGACATAAATTATATACTCTGTAAAGACATAAATGATATACTCGTATGTCTTTTATGGCATTCAATAAACATGCCTATAGTAAACAATTTGGAAAATACATTAAAGTATACAATTAAAAAATAGCAATCTCTTCTTATCCCATTGTCCAGATCATCACTGTTAAGCTTTTTGTTTATTTCCTTTTTGTCTTCTTTTTCTATCACACATATATATACATCT